GCTGCGGTGGGAGCCACTGGCCTTTTAAATCACCGCCCGAGCCCCCGGCCGCTGCTGCTACCCTAGGGTTCCGGCAGCAGGGGTCAGGCAGCGATTTAAAGGGGTGGTAGCGGCGGCCGGAGCCCCAGGCCCTTTAAATCGAGATTTAAAGGGCCCTGGGCTCCAGCTGCAGTAGTGGTGGCTGGGGGCCCCGGGCCCTTTAAATCGCCGCCCGAGCCCCTCTGCTGGAGCCCCAGGGTAGGGGTGGCAGCCGGGACCCCTGGGGCTCCTTCGGCAATTTAAAGGGCCCGAGGCGCCGCTGCGGTGGGAGCCACTGGCCTTTTAAATCACCGCCCGAGCCCCCGGCCGCTGCTGCTACCCTAGGGTTCTGGCAGCAGGGGCTCTGGCAGCGATTTAAAGGGGTGGTAGCGGCGGCCGGAGCCCCAGGCCCTTTAAATCGCCACCTGAGCCCTGCTGCCGGAGCCCTGAGGTAGCGTCGGCGGGGCTCCGGCAGTGATTTAATGGCCAGGGGCTCCCAGCCACCACTACTGCAGCGGGGTCCTGGGCCCTTTAAATCGCCGCCAGAGCCCTGGGGATCCCGGCCACCTCTGCTACCCAGGGGCTCCGGCAGCGGGGCTCTGGCTGCAATTTAAAGGGCCTGGGGCTCCAGCCGCTGCTGGGAGCCCAGGCCCTTTAAATTGCCGCCTGGGGAAGCTGGGCCAGTACACCGTGCCGGGGCGTACCGGCTTACTTTCACCTCTGCATACACTACAACATTCTGCTTCAATCATGCCTCTGTAAATATGAAGTAACCTCAGTGACATCACTGGAATTATTCTTGATTCACACCGTCGTAATTGAAAGCAGAATTTGACCCTATGATGTTGCACAAGCTATAAGTCATCTTATCCATGTAGTTAATGTCACTGATCATGTACAGAAAATATAAATATTTATAAATGTAAAATATGATGAGCCTTATTCTCCTCTCACTTACGCTGATTTTACACTAGTGTAACTCCATTAACTTTAATAGTTACTCCTGATTTACGTAAGAATCATAAGAATAGCCATACTGGGTCAGATCAGTGGTCCATCTGGACCAGTATCCTGTCTTCCAGCAGTGGCTGGTGCAAGATGCTTGAGAGGGAATGAATAGAAGAGGGCATTAAACTTACACTTGTGTGAGGAGAAAATGATCAGGCCCTGTGTATTCAACAGATTTGAGAGCTGATTTCCATAGGAAATTCTGTCATCTTCAAATGTAACCGGTTAGAGTCATTTTTCAAGGAAAAACTTGTGTTTCATGCCTTTGGTGAAAGCTATAATCTTGCGCTGTTCAGGAGAGTTGGACTCAATGGCAATATTTCATACATTTGCCTTTTTAAAATTCTTTAAATTATCCTTATGTTATTAATAATATTAAGGTCAACTGACTAAAACTGTGGTTCTCAACCTTTTTGGGCTCAGGATCCATTTATAAACCTTGATGGCCTGTCACAACCCAGTAAATGGCTTTAGTGCAAAAAAATCTGATTTATTAAATATTTCTTAGCCACAATATACAATGCACATTAAAATAATACTAGTATTAACATAATTTAATACCAAACAAGTACACCATGGCAGCTTCTGTGACTCATGTCCTGTGGGTCTGGCTGGGCGTGGCTCCCTGCTCTGGGTGTTGTGACCTCCAGGGTTGTGGCTTAGCTCAGATTTGGCCCCGCCCCAAATGGGGGGCCAGCCAGGTCAAGTGTGAGTGGCACTGCAACCTGGCGCATGGGGTCCCAACACCACTCACTGAAATTTGACCCCGCTGGTCTCCCGTCATCATGACAAGGGGCGACTAGGATAAACCTGAGAGGACCTGCAACCCTGTGCACCAGGTCCCAGTGCCTGGAGGGGGGAGCTGAACCCAGCCAGACTTGCAGGATCAGATTCACAGGAACTGCCACTGAATGGTGAGTGCAAGTTCTGCAATCACCTCCCCTACATGTCCCCAGGACCTTCCATCCTCGGGGGCAGGATCCCCCCCCCACCCCAGGCTTCCTATGTGACCCTTTGACACATACTGGCAACCTAAATTTGGTTCACAAGAAACCCTGGTTCATTTGAGAAACCCTGGACTAAGTCTTGCAAATGTACCCCCTTAGTAATATTACAGTCTATTATCTGTAGGACCTTACCGAATTCACGGTCCATTTTGGTAAATTTCGTGGTCATAGGATTGTAAAAATAATCAATTTCATGGTTTCAGATGTTTACATCTGAAATTTCACAGTGTTATAACTGTGGGGGTCCCAATCCAAAAGGGGATCGTGGGTGGGTGTGTTGCAAAGCTATTGTAGGGGGGTCATGGGATTGCCACCCTTACTTCTGTGCTGCTGCTGGCAGGGGTGCTGCCATCAGAGCTGGGCGCCAAGCTCTAAAGTCAGTGCCACTGCCAGCAGCAGTGCAAAAGTGAGGGTCACTCACCAGGTATGAGGGGATGGGTTACCGTATGCCCAGGTTTTCCCAGCAGTGTCTCCACCCAGGTCAGGGGCTGACAACCACCCTCACTTCTGCACTGCCTTCAAAGCTGGGCTCCCATCCAGCAGCCCTGGAGCTTCCTGCAACGAGAGAGGTTCCCAAAGATGGGTCTGACCTGGCTCCAGGAGCAACCTCTGTAGGGAAACAGGAAATCCCATCCCTCCCCAGCCTGGGCTGGGACTAGCAACTGTAGCTCATCCCATGGTAGAAGCCCCGGGTTGGGGTACACTCAGCCCTGCTCCTCCCCTACAATAGCCAGATTGCATGAAGGAGATCAGATTTCATGATCGTGACACATTTTTCATGGCTGTGAATTTGGTAGGGCCATAATTATTTATATTGAGGTAGCGCCCGGGACAGATCAGGACCTTGTTGTACTACATTCTGTACAAACACAGAACAAAAAGATAGCTTGTAAAGTCCCTGGGGGCAGAAATTAAGAATATATGCTACAATCCTGTCATTTATCACAAGCTAAGAAGGGTCAGAACATGTAAGTCTTCTAATAAACAGCTACTGTAGGAAGTGCTATTTGTGATTCAATGGATAGCATTCTTATCTCTGAATCACACTGAACCAATTCTTCAATAAGATATCAGGAAGCACAGTGCTACTGTAGGTGCTGTCTTTTGGATGATCTGTAAAACTGAAGTTTTGACCACTTGTGATCATTAAAGATCTCACAGCTACTTTTTGCAAGAAAAGGATTTGGTAACGTTGGTAGGTTGGCCCACATTCTATCTTTGGCAGTTACATCTTGCCTATCCAAATTTCTCCTTGCAGTCTCACTGATATTATGCATAATTTCCGGTCCTAAATTTTGTTTAGCATTTCTGTGCACTATTTAACAGTTGCTTCTTTCATCCAGCAGCAGACAAGTTTGGTGATAGGTGATATGATCCATACGAGTAGTTTGGATATCAGTTTAAACTGCTAAGGCGCTTTGAGACCTTTTACGAGCTTGTGCATTCTCTCACTTGCTGGCCCAAATGACGAGAGAGAGAGAGAGGAAAAACAAACAAACCTACGAGCACAGGGACGCACAAGCATGAGAATGACTCTACAGTCTGGTGGTTAGCGCACTCAACCAGGTGTGAGACCCAGGATCCAGTCCCCCTGCTCCAGACATTCTAATTATTTATCCAGAGTGCAACAGCTTCAACTGGAGAGATTAATGAAGTCTCTCATCAGAATATCCTGTAGCCAAATGGTTAAAGCACCCCCCCTTAGAGATGGCAAATCCTTTTCTTCCCACCCACTCCCCTCAGGTGGAGCATGGACTTGAACCAGGGGTCTCCCACATCCCAGGTGAGAACCTTAACCACTAGGCTAAAAGATATGAAGGAGGTCTTCCACTGCTGTTTTATGTGAACTCACCTGAGGGGACCAATCCAGCAGGTGGCTTCTCAAATATATACTGGATTGGACCCCATATGTGACTTGGGTGGCCAAACAAAAAGCCTATCTTCCCCCTGGTTTGTAAATCACTCTTGGACACAGGCAGGGAGAAAGGTGCCTGAATACCTAGTGGGAGGCAGCAGTGTGTATGCCCAGAGGCAGAAACATAGGTGCCTAGGGAACTTTTACTGCAAAAACGTAGGCAGCAAGTGAGTTTGGGTGCCTACAGGGTTTGGCAGGTGGCTTTGTGCATCACAGTGGTGCCAAAACCAGGTCTTAGGCACCTAAAATAGGGAATTAGGTTCCCAGCTCCTTTTGTGCTTTCAGGTCTATGTCATTCCATGCACTATAATCACAATTACTGCAGGCGCAGTAAAACATATGGCTATCTAGGAGTTTGTCTAAAAGGCCTGATGAAAAAATCAGCTTCTGTAGAATGTTGTCAGAGAGACCATCACTGCTGTGCACTAATTGCCCTGTGTCCCTGTCAAAGCAGACATGAGTTGGAATATTACATTAGTAATATTATGTATTGCTATATTTTTAAAGGTAAACAGAGCTATTGATGGCACAGGTTAACTATGTTCAGACTTAAGTCTATAAAGTAGGTTCCTATGAGAGCAGCTCACATTACATCATGTTTGGCCTTTCTTCTGGGCTGTTTGCTGGCTGTACATTTCTGAAACTGAACTCCTCAGCTTCAGTGCTTTGAAAAAACTATAGGCAGCAATACTTTGCTAATTAGATAATGCACTCAGTGGCATTACCACTGTGTCAGATGTCAGGAAATCTTGAGATAGGCAATGCTGTTACTTTGATGCTCTTCATAATAAGGCTACCCTAAAATGCTGGACTCTTTCACCTAGCTCCATTAAAGTGAATTGTTAAACAATACTCTGGGTGCCCAAAAGCATTCTTGTGGAGAAGTCATCCTGTAGTTTGATGAAATTATCACCTACATTATGACTGTATGATACCCATATCAACTTGTAATGAATCTCTCAAGAGTAGTAATATTGCAATAAGTACCAGAAGTAGTACTGATTATGCCCTTATGTTAAGGGTTATAGTATTTATGAATTAATAACATGAAATTATTTTTATTAGAGCTCATACTATTTACCATTTACTTTTTATAGAAATAAAGAAAAATAGTAATATAATGGTAAAGTATCATCCTAAATTCTGGACAGAAGGAATTTATCAATGTTGCAGACAAACAGAAAAATTAGCACCTGGCTGTGAAAAATACAATCTTTTTGAAAACAGTAAGTACATAGGAAAAACATATCTCATCATTTTAGCTTGATTTTGTCTATATACTTATATGACCCTTATTATCATAGTATCTGAGCACCTTCCTTAAACAAATCTAATAAATCATGAGTGAACAGTGTAACATTGTTGCAAAAAAAGCAAACATTATTCTGGGATGTATTAGCAGAAGTGTTGTAAGCAAGGCACGAGACTTCTGGTCTACTCCAGGGCTGCCCAGAGGATTCAGGGGGCCTGGGGCAAAGCAATTTCGGGGGCCCCTTCCATAAAAAAAAGTTGCAATACTATAGAATACTGTATTCTTGTGGGGGCCCCTGTGGGCGGCCCTGGTCTACTCCACGCTGATTAGGCCTCAACTGGAGTATTGTGCCCAGTTCTGGATGCCACATTTCAGGAAAGATGTGGACAAAGTCCACTTTAACTGGAGAAAGTCCAGAGAAGAGCAACAAAAATTATTAAAAGTCTAGAAAATGTGACCCGTGAGGGATGACTGAAAAAATTGGGTTTGTTTAGTCTGGAGAAGAGAAGACTGAAAGGAAACGTGATCACAGTTTTCAAGTACATAAAAGGTTGCTACAAGGAGGAGGGAGAAAAATTGTTCTCCTTAACTTCAGAGGATATGACAAGAAGCAATGGGCTTAAAATGCAGCAAGGGGGTTTAGGTTGGACATTAAGAAAAACTTCCTAACTGTCAGGGTGGCTAAGCACTGGAATCTCCATAGCAGATTTTTAAGAGCAGGTTAGACAAACACCTGCCAGGGATGGTCTAGATAATACTTAGTCCTGCCATGAGTGCAGGGGACTGGACTAGATGACCTCTTGAGGTCCCTTCCAGTCCTACGATTCTATGAGCCTGGTATTTTTATCACTACACATACCAGTGTAAATGAAGAATAACTGTTGTAGCCAGTATAATTACACCAGTGTAAAAATGATAGAAGAAGAGAATCAGGACCAATATATGTAGGGAAATAGGACAAAATTTCCATAAATGTGTACACTAGATTAGTGTGTCCAAACCCAAATTATGCCTAGCTGAACTCTGATTTCCATATACATGTTGCTGTTTGCACATGTAAATCATGGGTTTTGACTGCACAACAGTGTAGATGCAAACTGGCCCTAACTATAGTAAATACTACATCTTTATGTATAGGATTAATTTAGACCCTGATTCAGGAAAGCATCAATATTAAGGAAAGCACTTAAGCACGTGCATAAGTCCAACTGATGTCAGTGGACTTATTAGGCCTTAAATGGCAACAGTGAGACCTATTTAGAAATGTTTAAGGCCTGATTCATAAATTATGATTATTTATTATTTGTACTGTAGCACCAAAAGGCCCCAATCAGGATCATGGTCAGCCTGATTCTGCTAGGCACTATACAAACAGGAAGATAGTAATCCCTGCCCTGACATATGTACAGTGGAGTCCTCCAAGCTAAATAGGACTTGAGTTTTTACTGTAAAAAACAAACCGAAAAAAATGCCTCTTTTTTGGGTGAAAGAGCAGCGACAGTGAACAGCGAACAGACATAAATCTTTTCAAGCCTTCTCTCTATATCATAAATACACAAAAAAAGGGCTCAAGCACAGAGTTTTTCCCATGCCTCTGAGTATCTCCTGAAGTCATCAGGAGGGAGATCATCTCCTATTCACCACATAAGCTGTGCAGGCAGGAAGTTTCTTTTAAATTTAATTTTGAATATCCTTTTGGTGGGTTTTAGGCTTTTAAAAAGAAATTCCTTTTAGTTTTTATCTTCAAATTACTGCTATATACTCAAAGTTTTAACGTCAACTTAATGATTTTTTTCCTGAGACAGACTTTACATGTTCTGTGGATAGATATAGGATTCAGTCTTTAGGTCTGCCAGGCATGCACTTTTCCATTAAGTTCAATTTACCGGTACATTTTGTCTTACCAAGTATGGGTTTACAGAGCTTTTTATCAGAGCTGTTTTTGTTTTCTATGAGTTAAAAGTTTGTACTAATTGGAGGGCTGGTTAAGATGTTAAAAATCTTGTCTGAATTTTAAAATCTTTTATATTATTGTTTATCAGTATATTTATAAATGTAACATAGTTACTTCTACTGCATTGCTTTTAGGCATAAGGAAATCACCTTCTCCAATACCAGATAAAAATAAGGTAGGTGGAATCTTCAGAACATTGTGTAGTTCACTGCAATTGACTGAGAAGGGTTTTGTATACAGTATTTAGGCTCACTATAATATGTTTCTTTCAAGGATTAGGGTCCAATCTTGCAAGCACTGCCAGGCATAGAGCCTGATCCAGCTCAAACTGACATTAATGGACTTTCTATTAATTACAGTGGGATTTGGATTGGCCCATAGTGATTATTACTTTGAGTAGCCCTATTAACTTGAATTAGAGTACTCACCATAGTAGGCATTATGGTTGGTGATAAATGTTTATAAGATCGGGCCCTTTTATAGTTAATCTATGATTTAAAAAAATAAGCCAGTATGTAAAATGCTTAACAAATTTGCCTAAACTGTTCAATACCATACGTGTAAAGAGAACCCTCTTTTATAGCAGGACACCTACTTATTCAGCTGTCTGTTAATAAATAGGAAATTGCGCACTTTGTTGTTTCTTTAGGCTGAGTTTATTGCACATACCAGGGGATCCTTGCATCGCTCCATTCTCCCCCATGAGATCCCAGTGTGCCACCCAGTCATCCCCACTATTTCAGGGCTTGCTGCAAGCCCTACCCCTTCCCTCATGCCAGGGACTCTGCATTACACACACTAGGGTTACCATATCTATTAAATAAAAAAAGAGGACCCTCCACGGGCCCTGACCCCGCCCATTTCCCAACCCCAGCCCCGCCCCAACT